GAGGGGAAGTCACTGTCATGCTCTTTTCCATGGATGGGGGCAGGGGCCTCATGCCTTCATCCTCTCCTCACAGCTCTCGAGGGTCCACTTGGTGGCTCCTCCAAAGACCTCCACCAGTTTGTCGTCCCACGGGATCACGTTGCCTTGAAGATGGGAGGTGCAGTTGGCCAGGCCCCGGATCTCTGTGGGCGTCAGGATGTGGTCCCATAGGTTGAACTGAGCAATATCACCAACAAAGGCTTGAGTCGCATCAAATCGCCCACCCAGCGTGTCCTGTTGTTCATTGGGAGCAGGGTGTATGGAGATTGAGAGGGCAGGACACAGAAAAGGAAGAGAAGCACAAAGGGAGAAGAGGAGAGAGAAAGGGAAAGATATTGTGGGGGTGGGGCACACATTGAAAAAGGGAGAGCCCAGAGAAGACGAAATGCAGAAAAGAAGAGAGAAAATAGAAACACGAGAAGAAATGGAGGAAAACGTCAAAGGAAGTGAGGTGGCAAGTAATAAAATGAATGTATGAAAGAGGGCCGGGGAGAGAGAGACAAAAATGGAGAGAAGGGATACAGTAAATGAATGTGGCCATTAGGCTGCTCCCAACAGTAGATTCCTTAGGGAACCTTTTCCCAATCTACAGGAATGATCTTTTGAGATGCTGTTATCGTAAACATGCCCCATGAATTATGCTTGCTTGCTAAGTCAATTCCCAGCTAAACTTCCCCATGAGGGCTATGAGTGCACTTTATCCTGGGAGAAACCAGGAGGATTATCCTGAAGAGAACTTGGGGGGGCGCAGGAAGTATGCTCCACTCTTCCTCTAAAGAGCAGCAGTATGAAGGGGGCACTTTACATCAGCCAGGAGTGACTCTTATCAGCTCACAACAGGGTGGTAGCTGCAGCCTGTGAGGGAGCCGTAAGAAGTTCCCCTATCCCAGTCTTGTGAAGCTCTCCTTTGGGGACTTCCAAATACCCACTGAATGGGCCAAGCATATTCCATAACCAATCTTGCAGGGAGGCAGCATGCACATACCTGTTCTTGTCCCAGGATAATCACCCCCTGTGGTCTGATGGGATGCCAGGCTGCCAGGTTTTCACTGGACCCACGCTGCTCGCCATCCTGGTACGCCATCCACATGCCATCTCGAGTGGTCCAGGCAATGCAGATGTGGTGCCAGGTCCCATCCTTCAGATTCAGGGGCAGCTGGGCAACCTTAAAGACCCAGAAACAAAAGCAGGTATGTTAAGGGGCTGCCTGGAAGCTACCACATGCCTCCAGAGACAGGTGATGTGGCTACTTCTCAGTGAGGCTTCCCAGGAAGCATCTTCTGTGGAAAGACATGAGAAGGAGTCCTGCATAGACCCTCTGGCACTGGCTGTGACACACAGCAGCCTTTTGCCCAAGGGTGGGAGTCTGGAGGTATGGAGAGAGGGGCTCAGTGCACAGCACTTTGCCTGGAAAGATGAGTAGGAAGGAGATGGAAGGAGAAGAAATGCTAGGGAAAGAAAGAAGAGAAATAAGAGCAAAGGAGAGGCAGGGAAAAGTGGGATGAGAGATCAGGGGAGGGAAAGAATAGGAGTGGGTGGCCAATGTGTCTGAGTTAGAAACTCCAGGATCTGGGTGACATTCTGGTTTGAAACGTTGAATCCTTTTCTACTTCCTTTCTGTCAGGCTGCCACAGAAGAAGGGCACAGAGCTGTTCTGTGTACATCGGGGAGGAGTTATGTCTGCCAGAACTCCTCCCCTCCCCAGGGCAAAGATGACAGGGGGTCATTCATATCTAAGGGAGGATGAAGGGTGCTTCCTCCCCAGACAGGGCAGGGAGGAGTAAGTGCTTCCTTCAGCCTCAGCTCCCAGTGCTCCCAGGCAGGCCTTTCCCCTCCTGACCTTGTCATTGATGAGTAGCTCCATGGGGTTGTGCCCCCACTCCAGCAACACAATCTCATTGGCCTGCCCAGGGACGGAGTAGGAGAATGGGGTTCCCAGCCCTGATGAGGCCTTGGAATTCAGCCACATGCAGACTGTGAAGGAGTAGAGCTCTGGCAGGCTCTTCTTCAGCCGGACGTACATGTAGTTGGTCTGGACAGGGATGGTAACCTTGAAGGCATCAGGAGGGTTGTAGGCTGGTGCTCCTTGGTGCCCACAGAGGAGAGAGATAAGAGAAACAGGGCAACAGGTGAGTACCTGTGGGAGCTGGTAAGCAGGGAGTCACAGTAATACATGGAAGCATTGAGAATTAAACCAGCCCCAAACTAAAGTCTACACTACATAATGAAACCACTGCTGACAACGGCTGCTAACGGCAACTGCAGCTCCGTGCCATCTTGGCTATGCTTCAAGCCCAACACCAACTCAGCCCTCACCAAGGTTAACAATGGTGGTTTTGTGACATTTACTGGGCCTGGCTGGAATACCACTGCACAACCAGATGGCTGCATTAGCAGTCACCTCATGCATGGCACATCTGAGAGGAAATCCATGCTGCTTGTTGCATGGTCCTTCATGGACCATATTGCATGGTCCTTCAGACTCTGTGCCCTGTATTTGAATGGCATGGGCCATGCCTAATTTAGATAGTGATCTCCTTAGGCTATGGACTGTGTCTCCCTGTATTTGTTCAGAGCCAGACATCCTGAGATATAATCATTATCTGAAGCATCCAGACTTGGTTCAGCACTAGCCCAGGGCATCTTCCCTCTCTTATTGACTAAGTTCAATGAGACACCCACGTATGTGCACACTGCACAGGGTGGGAAGAGTCTGAAGGCAGCCATAGCTTAACCAGTTTCACCTGCCAGCACTGACCCTGTTCCAGCTCGGTGACCCGGCTCTGCAGAGCGTTCAGCTCCTTCTCTATGTCATGCCGCTGCTGGTCGTGGTTGCTGTTGCTACCTGAGCGCTCCTTCTGCAGGGAGATTATCTTGGAAAGGAGCTGCTCCTCCAGCTCCTCCATCTTGTTGTGGAGCACATCTCGGGTCAGCACGGGGGCGGGGGAAGCAGAGGCGTTGACTTGAGCTGGGAGCTCCTGCTTCACTTGGAAAAAGATGAGCATGAGGGGGAGAAGAGAGGGAGAGAAAGAAAGGAAAATAATCATGAGTAAACGTATCAATGCCAATGAAAATGTACGTCTATTCCTAATCAACAATGGACTCCCATGTCAACTGGATGATCATCTTTAAGTCAGTGACCCTTACCTTTAAGAGCTTTTACCTGAATTTAAACCTCCCCTTTAAGAGCCTCAATTAATTTGATTATTACCACCTCCTGTGACCCTAAGATGCCAGTCTTCATGCCCCTGCCCTGCTACCAGTGGGCTGAATAAAGAAAGGGACTTGTGTGAAGGCAGTCGCCCCCCTTGAAAAGCTTTCCCTGAAAGCATTGGGGCTGGGGCTGGACTGAGGATTTCCTGTAGCAGGGGCTGGGGATGAGCAATAACAGGGAGATCAGCCTTCCGCTCCATGCCACTATTGTATCCTACTTTGAGGAGGCTGTCACTTTAACATCACATAATAGTTCTGTAATCCTCTTAGCTCAGCTCAGTCTCTGCTCTGTAAGTGTGTGCATGCGTGTGTGTGTGTGTGTTTGTGTGAGGGCACAGCAGGTAGAAGAACATGGCAAGGTGAGGGGAGGACACACAATAGGAGATAAACCCCAGGCTTTCTGCTGCCAAAGCCCCCAGCTCTAGGATGTTTGTTAATTGTACAACCAAAAAACAGGGTCTTGTGGCCACTCTTGTTGTGACACCGGCGACTGGGAGCTTCGGTTGCTGCACTGTGCTTTACTGATCTCTACACTGCAATGTGTCTGCACACAGACCTTCCAAGTTCCTGTCCCATCACCCACTAGGTTCTGAATAAAATCTGGAGCAAAGTCCTTGGGTTGGCTCTTTTCTAGGCAGTTCCAAAACCTGGGCTAGGAACTTGGAGAG